GCTGCCTTATGAGACAGAGGGTCCCCGACAAAGCCGGCACCGACTCACAAGAACGAACACAACAACACCGTGTCAATGTCCTCTTTCGCTAAAAGCCTTAACACAGTCTCAAATCAAATCTGTTAAAAGTTAAAACTGAACAATTCATAGTATCTAGTGGTCGAAAATTCGACTTGTTAGTTAAAAGAACAAGGTTCGAATCCTACTACAATTTCAGTCATGGTTGAAGAGGTAAGAAAACCCGTATTTGGATTAGTCTAGACGAAGCCTAAAATTCTTTCGGTTAACAAAAAAAAAAATTGAATCATCACGCCTACCGCACGTACAAGTCGCAATTAGGAAAGCAAGTTTCCATTAATAACAATTAATAGTTTAAGCGGAATTTCAGCAAAATTAGTACATTTGGTAGGTCACTTTGATTGAACAAGAAAAACAAATTTGTTGGTTGTTATGGATTATATTATTGTTGATAACTTGATATCAACCACTTTATTATTGCGACTGCTTTGGCGTTTAAGAGGATAAACTTAATTATTCCATTAATTACTTTCCAAGAGCACTATTAAACATTGACCCTTTGGTTTTTAACTTTTCTGTTAGTGTAATACAGGCTAATGCCATTATCATAAGTTGGTTTAAAGAGAAATCTTACTCTACTCCCATCCATTTCACAGTTTCACAACTAATCATTATCTTTAGTCAAAATACCAGTTTCGAGCATTATAAATTCATTGAGTGTCTATATACCATTTGTCATTTTGACTACATGTTAAGCATTTTCTTTTAATTTTTTACTCATTATATTTATAAGTTTGGAATTCGTAAAAATGGGACAGATTCATATAAAAACCAATTACAAACCTATATTTTTTTTAAAAAAAAATAAAAAATTACTAACCTATATCATTATTGGCACAACAATTATGTACTAACAAAATTGCTGACTTTATTATATATCACTTGTTATTGCACTTAACTAATTCTCCAACTAAAGGGTTTGAGTTTTATGCTCTTTGTTAATCGTTTATGCTGAAAAGTTTAATTGTCATTGTATTAATCATTACCGTAAATATCGAGAAATAATGATAACACAAATTAACTATTTAAATCTTTCACTAGGCTCCAAATATTTCAACACTTCTATTGCATTTTTCGTCTTTATCAATTAAGACAATAAACAATCAAACAATGGGGTCAGCCAATATAATTATTCCTATAATTATATTTCAATAACAAGAATGTCTTAACGAATCGACCCCATAAGATCAAATTAAAATCTAATTTTTGGATTTTAGAAAACAAAAGCAAGATTTTTGTGTTATAGCAAAAGGCAGACAAATAAAAAAGCTGGTTTCTTGTAAAGTACTCAACAGTAACTCTTTTGTTAGACTTATATATATATACACATTAAACATCTTTTCATCTTCAACTCAAAAGAAAACTTCTCTCTGTTTCATCAAAACACTTCACAGTTCTTTATCTTCCTCTTCAAAGACTCAAAATCTTTTCTTTTCCTTAAAAATGGCGAAATCGAAGAAACTCTCCACTGGTCAAAAATTGGGTTGTGAGAGTCTCCTTGGCTGTATTTTCCAAAGCTGGAGTCCTCGCCGACGAAAACCATCTTTACCGGAAAAAGATCACAAAGCAAAAGATTACTTGCCTCCCAAGTCAATCACTGTTACAAACCCTAAAATCCTTCCAAGAAAATCCACCGATACTTCTTCTCAACCAAAGAAACAAGAACCTCAAAAACCCCGACAAAAGTCTAAATCCGACGAAACCATGCCTCGAAAATCATCGGATTCCGCAAGAAAATCGATTTCATCAGTGTCACCAAGAACAGAGAGCAAGAGGTTTTCAGTTAACGGCGTGATGGGAAACATCATCGTGAAACCACAGCCTCCTCCGGCCGTTAAAGCTGACGTGGCGGCGCGTCCGAAAAATCGGTGGGAGGGTAAAACGGTAAATTACAGAAGCGATCCGGAGACTCTAAAGAGAATGGGAAACGAAGAGTATTGTCGTGGGAGGTTTGGAGAAGCTCTTGTGTTTTACGAGAGAGCTATTTCAGCAGACCCCAAAACGTCGACGTATTGGTCGAACAAATCCGCCGCTTTGATCAGTCTCGGTCGCCTTCTAGAAGCTTCCGATGCTTGCGAAGAAGCTTTAAGACTAAATCCGACTTACGAGAGAGCTCATCAGAGACTTGCTTCTCTCCAACTTAGGTAGATTCTTCGCTCTGTTTACTTTTCTTTATTGCTTAGTTGGTCCCTGTAGTTTAAGATTATTATCTTATGGTCCTAAAGGATTACACAATGTCTAATCACACCCTTGATTTTTTTTGTTTTTGGACAGATTGGGTGAGGTTGAGAAAGCTTTGTGCCACTATACTCAAGCTGGGAAATATACAGAGACAAAACATATAGAACAAGTTGAAGATGTTATAAAATGTTTAAGTAGATGCGACGAAGCCCGAAGATCAAAGGAATGGAACGTTGTTTTGAAAGAGACTTGTTTTGCGATATCATATGGAGCAGATTCTTCTCCTAGGGTTAGCATTTTTTTCTCTTGCTCATATCATATAAAATGGTTCTATGTATACTAACGAGGAGCCAAAGATTGTATATTTTGTTTAACCAGTTGTGTTTAATTTAAAGTACAATTTTATTGGTAGGTACTTTTGTTTTGACTAATTAGACCCATAATCTCCAATCTTATAAGGTCAATGCGCTCCAAACCGAGGCCTTATTACATCTTCAGCGACACGAAGAAGCATACAACGTCTACCAGAAAGGAACAAAACGCTTTGACATTGATTGTTTCATAAAGATTTTTGGTCTTTCCATCACTTCTTACCTCTTAATGGTCGGAGCGCAAGTCTACATTGCAGCAGGAAGGTCAGTACTCAGTATAGTACTATCTAATCGGACGCCTTACTGTTTATTTCATTTCTTTCTGGAAAAGAACAACGTGCCGTTTCATTTCTAAGGAAGGGAACATCTTGCTGTTTAGGACCTTTAAATTCCCCGAAAATAAACACCTGCACTACGTTTTATTTTAAATGCATGGAAATAGCTTTGCCATTTTTTTGTCATAGAAAAATCAGCAAAAAACGCGCCGTTTGAAATTTCATTCGATTACACAAAGCTTGCCGTTGTTTTACTCGAAAAACGAACAACTCGGCGTTTTGTTTTCACCTTCGAAAACGTGAGGAGACTCATTGTATTCTTTCTTTCATGGACAGATTTGAAGATGCAGTAACGGCGTCAAGGCAAGCAGCTCGGCTAGACCCGAGCAACGAAGAAGTAAACGCGGTGGCTAAAAAAGCGAGAGCGGTTGCTGCGGCGAGACTCAGCGGAAACTTGCTTTTCAACGCGTCGAAATTCGAAGTGGCTTGCGTGGTTTACACGGAAGGACTCGAGAAAGATCCATACAATGCCCTCTTACTCTGTAACAGAGCTGCCTCAAGATTCAAGCTTGGTCTGTTCGAGAAGGCCATCGAAGATTGCACGTTGGTCCTCGATCTTCAGCCTTCTTACCGGAAAGCGAGACGGCGCAGGGCGGATTCCTATGCCAAGGTAAATCAATCTCAATCTCAAGAACCGGTATAAACCGGCCGAATTATGACATAGCTTTGTATCTTGAACATTGTTTTGTTTGGTTTACTCTGTGTATGTAGTTGGATAAATGGCAACATGCGATTCAAGATTATGAGTTGTTGGTGATGGAAATACCTGGAGACGAAGAGACTAGAAGAGCCTTGGCTGAGGCAAATGTCCGGTTTAAGAAGCAAGCCGGTGGTGGAGATATCCGGTTTAAAGGAATCGGCTCGGATTTAGTTGTGGTAAATTGAAATGGAAGATTTTGGATTTGCGTAAGCCGAATTGTATAGTTTTAAAAGATT